TATTATAGAAATGTGGGGCAAAGATAGAAGGCCTCAATTTAAAATTTCCTCTTTCAGCAGGGGACCTTCTTGTTACCTTTTAGGTCAAAAGACACAATTGGGCAACAAAGTAAGGGTCCAATGGACTGGCAAGGGCTTGTTGGGGAGTCCAGCCTAATAGAAAAAAGCAACTTTACTGGTCAATGGGGGAATTAAAAATAATGGATATCTCTTTAATAAAGCTGCAAAAAAATAAAATTATCCCACCTTTGTGCCTTTTACCAAATTACTGAGGGGTGAAGAGAAGGGATATTTGGGCCAGGTATAACTCTCTATTATGCAAGTGAATTTCACAGGAAAGGAAATGTTTGAAATTAAAGGCCACCCATTCAGGGGCCACCTGCTGTTTTTGGGGCCTCTGTTTAGGGCACCACAAGTCTGTTTGATCATCATAAAGCAGGCAAAACCAAAGTTTAAAACGGTCCTGGCCTCATGACAATTGAGCGATTGGTGAATGAGTTTGTGGGAGTTTTCTTTGTATAACACAGGGACTATGATAATTCTTGGGCATTATCACAGATGGTGTATATGTATATGATGGGCAATCTTCTTTCAAATAAAGCCTTGAGGAAATGAAATTTGCAGGAGGGGGGGCATTTTATTAGGGCCTAACGCCCAGGGGGCAGGGAGACTCATATTTTCTGGGGCGCCCACTGTTGTGATTTAGTGGCATATTCATTGTATGTTGTAATAATTTTAATTTCTTAATAGTGTTTTTTAAATTTTTAATTAGGAAAAAATCGAAGTTTACAGGAAATTTTTTTTTCATAAAAGTGAACCTAAAAAAAAGGTATTAAGACCAAAAATTTTTAAAAAATTTGAAAACAAAGCTTATTTGGGAAAAAAAAACAAAAAACATAAAAAAAAACCACAACGGATGTTGAAATAAAACAGTTGCAGGGAACGACCCAGTCCCACCAAGTAAGTAGATGTTATCAAAATCTTGGGCTCAGAAAAAACTCCTGAAAAACCCAAGTACCTGAGGCCCAAGTCAAGTGTTACCAAAAACTCGTGTTTGGGGAGAGGAAGAAAAGGCAGGGGAACAAGGGGGGGCGATTCAAGACATTAAAAATTTACATTTTTCTCCAAATGGGGCCATGTGGAACAATTTAGGTAACGGGCCTCTTACTTTGTTTCAGACAGAGGAAAGTTCCAAAAAAAGGGCAAAATTTAATGACCCAGGGGAAGAGAATATAAAATAGGAGGTTCTCAAGGGAACTGTTTTCCTCCAAAGCTGAAAGGGCCAAAGGTCTGCAAAATTTTTAAAGTTTTAGACTCGAGCGCAATGCAAAAAAGGGGAAATTTTGTATTTTCATTGCCAAGCCCAAGAAAAAATTTCTTCAACAAAGGAAAACCCATTTTTTACCTTGATCAAAGAAAGTCTATTTAGGGGGAAGTTGAGGGGGACCAATAAATTTTGGGCAAGTGAAATAACAGGATTTGTTGCAGGCTGAAAAAAGACATTTAAGTTTATTAGGGGAACACTTAAGTACACAAATCATTTAATTTAAAAGTAAAAAAAATTTAAATTACTACAGTTAAACCCCCCACTGATTTGGTTGATTAAAACCAGGTTCTCCAATAAACATCTAGTTGGTAAAAACCAAAAAGCGAAATTGTGGTTGGTTTTTTATTTTATCTTAATTTTGGGGTTTCAAAATTTTTTCATTTCCCTTACAGCGTTTCACCTTTCTCAAACAAAACCCAAATGGGGAGCCCAGGAAAAACAATTAAACAAGAATATTATTTTCCCCCACCCCCCTTCCCACCCCCACAAATAAAATAAAAGAGAAAAATAATAAATTTGCATACCGGGGACAAACCCAACCCCCAACAAAAAACCACATTTTTTTTTTTTAACAACCATACATTTACTTTTAGCTTTTTAAAACAAGGTATAAACTTTTTAACTATATAGCTTGTTTTTTCTTTAATTCCTTTTCCTCCCATTTCCCAAACTCCCCCTGTTTGTTCTTTCCCCTTTCCCCTATATATTACTTAGGTTTTTTTATAAATATTTATTCTTGTTAATATTTGTTTTCTTGAATCCTCTATTCCATCTTATGGTCAAATTAGTTTTGCTTAGGATTTGCTAAATTCTTTTTGTATTTACTTATCTTCCCTTTTATAACTCTTCAT